TCAGGGTGGGACACACGTGGGCCTGGCCGAGGCTCCACTGGGCAGTCACTGGTCTTGCTGGAGGGCCTGGTGCCACTCTGTAGGCGGGACTGGCTGCAGTCCAGTCTATTTCAACCCTTGCAAGGATGAGTTTCTACTTCTCCAACTTTATGAAGGAGAGAGATTCTGGGGAATAAACCGCATGGGCTGTGATTTCACACGGATGCTCCGGCGTAAGCGGCAGAAAATCAGCTCTGCGTCTGTGTCAAGCTCTTTGCGCAGCTGCTCGGACGGCTGCTGGCGGCAATGCAGAGGTGACATGGCAGCTTCGCTTTCAGCATAGATTCCACCTCCTTTGTAGTAAAACCAATAGGCAAAGGAAATGCAACTGCTTTCAAAGAAGCTCAATATAAACCGACGATTTTCAGAATATGTGCTCCTAAACGCTGCCTGCACAAAGGCCTGGGATTTCATTGAGAAAGGAACCCAGTGGACATTTAGTCCCACAGCTTTTAATGCTGTGCCCTTCAAGGCCCTGGGGGATGTCCATGGGGGGCAAAGAGCACCTGCACAGTTGGGAAGGGCCAGGGGACCTGGAAGGGTGGAGGGCAGACAGCCCCGGGCCCCTCTGCTGCTCCACGTGGTCAGGCCACACCTACCTGCTCTCCCAGGGGCTTCCTAGGCCTGCTTCGTAGGAGGGGAAGGTTCGGCTCCCAACATTTTCAAACTGCGCTAACCTGGTATGATGGGTTGGACTGTGTCTCTGCACCCTCAGATATTTTGGGGTCCTAATCCCCAGGACCTCAGTCTGTGATCTCATTTGGAAGCAGGGTCACTGCAGAGGTAGTTAGCTGAGGTCTCACTGGAGTGGAGAGGCCTGTAATCCAGTGTCACGGGGTCCATGTAAGAAGACAGCCACGGGAAGACCCCCGGACCAGACAGACGATGGCTGCATGAAGACGGAAGTGCATTTGGAGTGGGGCCGCCACCAGGACCATCAGAAGCTGAGACGAGGTGATGATGGGCTCTTCTCGAGAGCCCTCAGAGGGCACAGCCCTGCCAGCACCTGGATTTCTGACATGCAGCCTCCAGAACAGCGAAACAATCCCTTCCCTTTCTGTGGTTTCCAGCCCTTTCTTCCAGCAGCCCTAGGAAACTAGCAGACCTGGCCAAAAATATTTTCTTCTTTCACCGTTTGACTTTTTTACCCTCTTAGGAAGTAAGTGGACAAAGGGAAGTGCATGCAAAGAAAAAAGTGGGAAGTTATTTTCTCAGCTTACTGACCAACTCCCACCCCTCACCCCACCCCCACGCTCTCTGCCTCCTCGGAAGGGCCTCCGAGAAGGGAAAAAACAGGCTCTGGGCTTCCCAGGCACGACGCCCCTGGCCTGCAGTTCACCTCAAGGTCGGCCTCCCTTTATTCCTGCCCTCACGATCATGGAGCTTGTCTTCTTCCAGGGTACAGGCTTCTGTTTTGAAGTTGACGTTCATATTTCCATATGATCCTAATTCTGGAAGCTCCTGGTTAGCAGAGGAAAATAAGCCCCAATCCCCCTCCACCTTTTGCGGTGGGGAGGGCTCAGGAAAGCCCGAACGACTCTTTAAATAAATTGCCTTTTCTTTCAAGTTTTAGCTGCTGAATTAGGTGGTGGTCTAGGAGACTCGGTGCGCCTGTGCGTGTTTATACAGAGGGAGCGAAGTTTATAAATATACAAAAGAGAAGCAAGACACTTGCCGAGTGGCACTGGAATGCCATAAAAGTTATTTGAGGGTGGAGGCAGGACCTCAACATCTCAGGACACACCTTCCGTAACTCTTCGGGGCTGTTCTCAGATTATGTCCCAGGGGACTCCCCCCAGGACTGCCAGGGTACGAGATGTGGGGGACAAATAATCGGGGAGACTGCAGAAGAAAGAGCTTTAGTCCCACCTGCTGGCCGCTCCTCCTTCACCTGCTTTCCTGCTGAGCTTCCGAGGAAGCCGTTCTATCCTCTCCTGAGCTCCTTGGAGAGAGAAGTTATCAGGGAAGGTCAGGAAATGTCTTTGAGCTCCTTGGAGAAAGAAGTTATTAAAAAAAAAAAAAA